AATAGTGATATTGTATTTGTACAGTAGTGAACAATAGCTCTTTTTTATACTGTACTTCTAATTATTAATATTACAATTAATCTTCAAAAATAAATTATTTCTGATAATTTGTTCAATTGACTTTTATTCATACGAAAACGAGAAATCAATATTACGTGCGCAAAATATCCGTGCGCAAATTTCCTAGATCCTCATGTTTTATTATCAAATCGTCTTTTCATCATTGCTCATAAAGACAAAATGACAAAAAAAAATATAAACAAAAGATGAGATATACAACAATAGGCAATCATATTGAAAAAAAATAGTCAATTTTATTCCAATGTTAATAATAATGGTATTAAGATGTATATATATACTGTATAACGATGGGAAACTATTTCATCAACTTCATACTTGATGGAAAAATCAAAAATAACATTTTTTTTACAAAAAAACAGAAAATGAAGATAGTTATTTTTAATTTTCAACCGGTGAATTTCCGGTATTTTCCGGGCCGGTAGGTTTTCCAAACTGGTCCGGACCGGTTCCAGCGCTGCCAGGCACAAAAAATCGAAGAGTAAAATTTCGAAGTTTTGACTTGACAGAAAGACTCAATCAGATACCCTAATTAATATACAAATGAAATCGGAAACAAATCTTATGAAAGTAAGACGAATGAAAGCGATATTCCTCCTTTCACATTACTACCCGCAAAATTTAATTCGAAATTTTCGACATCGCGCATTCTATTTGAAACGTTGAGAGTTAGTTCATCTTGTACAGAATTGAATGCTCTACTAAAACCAATACTCATCTTTTTTGTCACTTTAAAGGCGGTCATAAGAAAAAGAAATGCTCAAAAATTTTCTCGTAGAAGGCAAACACTTCTGAAAAGTAAAATATGCCATTCGATGTAGTTTTACACGGCCTTTCAAATGAGACATTGCTCAACGTTGTACAATCTAATTTGGCTTCAAAAATTCAAAATTACTGAAAATCGTTTGTTTTTTTCGTAATTTTGAGGGTGCTGGTGTAGCTCCGTGAATATAGGGTCCCACGGTTTAACAAAATTTCATAACCACAGTTTTTCACGTAGAATCGTATGTGATAAGAAAAAGAGCATGTTGCCAAAAGTCATGTTATGTCGATTCTTGATGTTCCCATGCATGTTCTCTTAAGTTTAGTTACGCCTGTGACATATACAAATTAATAATTGTATCTTGCTGACCAAGTTCATAATTTTAAGTTTGGTTTTCGAGCTGCATAGGCAAAATAGACTTTAAAAATGATCCTTCATTACAACACGATTCAATTTCTCGGCTCCTACATATAAAGCCATCGACATTTATGAACATTCCCTTGCTATTGCTTTTCAATATATCACTAATAGATATACTGATTACATTATTGCACAAGATAGACTCGTGATAATCTTGTTCTTTTGTATTTTACATACACACTGAATATCGAACTGATTTTTTATTTATGTGTTAGACTGTTTTTGAATATCAAGTACATCAAAAAGATTAAACGAAGAAATTTATTTTCTATTATTTAATTAAAAGAGCAGCTTTATTATTTGAAGCAAAAAAACGATTCAAAGGTTTATGATCAATATATTCAATAGCTGTTAAATTTCGTTATTTCCAAAATGTTGTTTCATATTTTGATAGATCAATAACTTCTCCATCATGAAGACCACGCACATTAATTTCGATTTTTTTCAATGTTTTCATATGACTTAAATGTTTCTCCCAGTCTTGAGCTTTAATCATTGAATGAATATTATATTTTGTATGACAATTTACTTTAAATATTTTCAATTGTGGACATAATTGAAACACAGTCAATCGCATCAAATGTTGGAACATTATCCATATGAAGAGATGTTAATTTTGATAAACAATTTGTTGGAACAATTATCATAAAATTGGAATGATGTTGATAATTCTCCGATGAAAGATGTAAACTAATTAAATTCGGAAGAAATGG